AAGCAGAGGTAGTAATCATGATCTCAGACAAAGTTAGAGCTAAAATAGATTTAAGCAGGAGAGAAAAAATAGGGAAACTATACTATATGTTAGTCATATTAATATTGTTTTAGATTATTTAAAATAACTAAACAGCAAAAGGTTAGAATATTGCTATGGTATAGGAAATGATGAGTTGGTGGACTTAGAAAAATAGGGAAAGACTTGAACCTACAAAGGAAGACATTATCCACCCTCAGAGAAACAGGGGACAAACAAGTATAGTATAGTCTTACATAGATGCATATAAAGGTATATATCTATATATGAGTATTATTATAGATATCTAAGTATATGTATAAGTGTGTGTGTGTGTGTATGTATATATGTATACACATACACACATATGTGTGTATGTATATATGTATACACACACACACACACACACAAACATCTGTGCATAATTGTAGCCTTCTTGGGGAGGGGAGGAAGAAGGGGGAAAAAAGCACAAAGTAAAAAGTGCACAGCAGAGAACAAAAGAAAACTTACAAGGAAGCAAAGATAGCTCAGAACACAATATGTAGTATTTACTATATAGGCTTTCTTAAAATGGAAAATTATTGCTGTATATTTTGAGTCCTCTCTTATGTTTTGCTGTGCACGTGACAATGCTTTTTTTCCCTTTTTTATTTTGTATTTAAGTTTTGGTATTGTAATGTTTCTTTGTTTTTTCTTATTGTATATTTAAGTTTTAGTATTTAAGTTTAAAACAAATCAATAAAAAATAAGGGAACTGTGTTGGATCATTGTGTTGCTGAGAAGAGCTAAGTAAAGCATAGTTGACCATCACACAATGTTGCTCTGTACGATGTTCTCCTGGTTCTGCTCACTTCACTCAGCATTGGTCCATATGAGTCTTTCCAGGTTTTTCTGAAATCTGCCTGCTCATCATTTCTTATAGCACAATAGTAGTCCATTACATTCATATACCACAACTTGTTCAACCATTCCCCAACTGATTCCCAAATTGAAGGCATTCCCTCAATTTCCAATTCTTTGCCACCACAAAAAGATCTGCTGTAAATATTTTTATACATGTGGGTCTTTTTCCCTTTTATATGATATCTTTGGGATACAGACCTAATAATGGTATTGATGGATCAAACAGTATGCACAGTTTGGTTGCCCATGGGCATAGTTCCAAATTGCTCTCCAGAATGGTTGGATCAGTTTACAACTCCATTAACAATGCATTAGTGTCCCAGAAATTAATATAATCTTTAAAGTTCCTTTTCCTATTTCCTATTACTGAATTTCACTCATCATTTTTCTTCATCCTAGACCTGTCATGTTAGCCAAGTCCTATTAGCTTTGCAATATCTGTGTATTTGTCATCTATGTTTACATTCAAATTATTGATGAAAAATGTAGAAAGCTGTGCCCTTGGACAGATTCCTAGAACATTGGCCTTGGACAAGAATAGATTTCTAAAACATGTTGTTGTTCAGTGTTTTAAAGGGTTTTCTTGGCAAAGATACTGAAGTGGTTCGCCATTTCCTTCTCTAGATCATTTTACAGATAAGGACACTGAGGCAAATAGGATTCAGGGACTTGCTCAGGGTCACACAGCTAGTTAAGTGTCTAAGGACAGATTTGAACTCAGGAAGATGAGTCTTTCTGATTTTAAGCCCAGTGCTCTATCCACTTCACCACCTAGCTGCCTTCATAAAGTCTGGTCTTGGGTCAAAAACAGGGGGTTGGACCAGATTATCCTGAAGGTCACTTTCATCTTTGACATTCTATCAGTCAGTTATTCAGCAGGGTTTTTCCTTTTATCCTTTCCAAAGGAATATTTGTTTCAAAGGTATGGTGAGAACTTGTTCTCTGTTTCTGAAAAGAACCAATGACATCACATAGTGATGAGCTAGAAGGGAACTCAGAAACCATTTTAGGCTAACCCTCCCATTTTATAAATGAGGAGACTGTTGTTGCTCATTCTTTGTTTTCAAAGAGGACCAGTGACATCACAGGGTAATGTCTTGACTTGTGAGTGAATTAGATTTAAGTGAGGTCATCACAGCACAGTCATCAGCCTCACTTTCTCTTACAGAGTCATTGAAGTCCAGTGGCAGGACAAAAGTCAAGATGATTGGCGATGGCCCAGGATGCAATGGATAACCTTGCAGGCTTCAACGTCTGACCAAGCTCTGAGTGCTCCACATACCCTGCTTCATCTGCCTTCATGGCCATTGGAACAAATGTTCTCATCTGCCTGTTCTTCCAGAAGTCTTCACACACTTGGGGTAGACATCCTCCTAACTTACCAACAAGTTTGAGACTTGTCGATTACCTTCAACCTGGTTTAGCCCCCTCTGCTGAACTGGTTTACTGGGGTGTGGCCACTGGGCATGCTACAGCTTCTTGGAACGACAGGTGAGAGTTAAAGGGCCAGGTAGACACCAAAAGGAGATAAGCAGCACAGCCCTGAAAAGGGTTTGGTAATCCCTCAAACCAGAGTTGAACAAACATAAATATTCCCTCCCCACAACTGAGAGGGCACAGTCTTCCTTACTCCACTTCAGTTTCTGAAGAAGGGAAGGGAATTAGGTTCACAGCTTAATTCAGTTCCTCTATAGCATAGCCCCTACAAATTCCAAATCCAAAGATCTCTGGGCTTATATCTTGGCATCTTGGCTTCTTAGAGGTTCCCTTCTGGATTGGCAGAAACATCAAGCCTAGAATCCTGGCTCCAAGGTCCCAGTGGCTTGAGAGAGAAAGAGAGAGATGGAAAGAGAGAGTGTCCTAATGTGAGACCAAGGGAATAAGCATTTACATAGCACGTACTATGTGCCAGGCACTGTGCCAAATATTATCTCATTCAATCCTTACAACAACCCTATGAGGTGTTAATATTGTCCCCATTTTAGCCGGGGAAACTGAAGCAAACAGAGGTTAAGTGATTTGGGCAGGGTCACAAAGCAAGTAAATGTCTGAGGCCAGATGTAAACTCGGGTCTTCCTGACCCTAGGCCTCACCCTCCATCCATTGCACAACCAGCTGCCTCCAAGCCAGTGCCAGCTACACAGCCAATGAAAAGAAGTTGCTCCTACTCACCTGGTAGGTGGGTAAAGACTGTCTTTTCCCAGATGCAGGTCCTCTGAGGTCACCCACATGGATGTCTCCATATTAGGTGATCTGAGAATGCACAAAGCCCCATTACATTCTCTCCCCACTCTTATACTCACCCCCATTTGAAACATTTCTCCTCTCCAGCAAATAGGCAGGGGTGCATTCTGAACACAATCCTTGACCCTAGGTCTTATTCACCCATAACATGGGCATCATACACTAAGCCAGGGATGGGGAACCTGTGCCCTCAAAGCCACATGTGGCCCTGTAGCTCCTCAAATGCGGCCCTTTGACTGAATCCAAACTTCACAGAACAAATACTTTTATTAAGGGGATTTTTTCTGTGAAGTGTGGATTCAGTCAAAGGGCTGTATTTGAGGACCTAGAGGGCCACATGTGGCCTCAAGGGTGCAGGTTTCCCACCCCTGCACTGAGCTTTAGGTGGGTGGGGGCACCTTTCTTCACCTTAGGTCCTATAACCCTGAGAAATGGACTTGAGTTTCTGGTCCTCTTTTATTTGTCCTTTCCAGTTCTAGGCACAGGTAGTAGAGTTGCTGGACCTGGAAGTTTGAGCCATGGGGACCTGGGAGCCAGGATCCCAGTCCGGATGTTGCTGTCAGACCTGGCCAAGGGGCTCAAACAAAAGTCCAAAGGGGCGCTGGACTTGGAATTGATTGGGTTATCCTATAAAGGAATGGAGTGAAGTTGTGAACCTAATTCCCCTTCCCAGGGACCAAGGTGAGAGAGGGGGAATTGTGCTTCCCCTTCCTTGGAGTCTTTGGAGGAGAATGTTCTTATGTTTGTTCTTTCTGTATTTTTGAAGTAAATATTCCTTTGTAAAAGCTAATCTGCTGTTAGGAGGTTAAGGGAACTAGGTGTGGAGGACCCCCTAAAATTAGGGGATCACAGTTGTTGGGGCTTGAGCCAATGACAGAGACTAGAAACCCTACCCCTTTAACGGTACTGGGGTACTGGGAAATGGGTGAAATGTAGCATACCTGGGTTTCAGGCAATGGGGGACAGAGTAAACATTGTTACCCTTTTATTTTATATTTTTCTGAAATTCCCTAGGAAAGTATTTTGCCATTCCTGTTTGGGTTGGCCATAGGGAAAGAACCTTTATTCTGGGAAGGAGGAGTGGATGCAACATTAGAGTATCCTGAGATGCCAGGTTGGAGGGGAAATGAGAAAAAAAAGTGTTTGGAAAGGAGGTTTTAGGTTCAGCTGAAGCTACTATTGTCCTCTTGCAGGATTCAGTCAAGATCACAACAATCTCTCTGATTGCAAAGATGCCTCATTTGTTATTTGTGGTGTAATCTTGGAATCTTGACAGTGACTTTAGGATAGGGTCTTGTCCCTGGGGATGATGGAAACTGGCTAGGGGTGGAGAAGGCAGAGGTGATCCTAGCATGATGCCTAGGCTAGGTGACCCTGGTATACTGGTAATCCACTCAGCCTTGCAATGACTGCTCCTTATCAAGGCAAATTTAAGACAGCTGTGTCCCTGTTTCTTTCCCCATTAGAACAAAAGGCTTCAAGTCTACAGATGCCCAAGATCCTATTGACCTTCGCTTGGAGAGAGTTGGAATCCAAATTCAGACAAACACAGGGAAATAGGGGGATGATCAAATACTTAGAATACCAGGCAGCGGGGGGGTAGGGAATTTGGCCCAAGATCAGATGAGGGCTAGGCTGGTCAAAGTCAAAGATTACAAAAGTCGGGAAGGGTCTCTGATGTAGCTTCTGTAGTCCTTAAATTCCTTAAGGGCCAGGCTGAAGTGACAGAGAGGGTGAAGCCGCTCCCCTTCTCAGATCTTTATTGCCTGGGGCATAAAGGTGGGACTAGAAGACAGAAAAACCGGGTAGCAGTTTTGTCTGCAGACAGATTTTAGATGGAAAGCCGGGATCCCTCAGTGGCTGTCCTAAGCCCTTCCAGCGTTCTGGTGACCGGAGCCAGCCGCGGGCTGGGGCTGGAGTTTGTCAGGCAATTGGTGCAACTGCCCAAACCTCCCCAGATGTTGTTTGCGACCTGCAGGAATCCCTCCGACTCCCAGGTGAGAGGGCTGAACCTTTCACCCCCGCCCAGAGCTCACCTCCCTCTCCACCCCACCTGACCCCTGAGTTGTCCCGAAAGGGAAGTGCCTTCCATTCCAGACCATGAGACCGAGCATTTAGACCTGCTGTCCTCTGAGACGCCGGGGGTGTCAAAGGAGAGGCTTGGAGCTTTGAGTTTCTGCAGGATGTCTCCAGGAACCCGGGCTTCTCCCCAGGGCTATAGACTCCAGACCTGGGTGTTAACTGAGGCTTACTTTCTCCCGAGTGCTGGGTCTTTGCGGATGAACTTTTGCAAAGAGGCAGTGTCAGATCAGTGTCTAGGTCTGGGGTGGGAGGGGGTGGGAGAAAAGTGACGAGGACGTCTTCTCTCGGAGGGTCTAGTGGGACCGGGGTCTTTGGGGCCTTAGACTTAAACTCCAGTCGTGCGCGTGATCCTGGGAGTGGGCGAGGAGGGGACTCCTCAATGTTCCACTTCCCCGCGTCTGGGCAGGAGAGCTCTGACTACGTGACTGATGGGACATCTTTCCTCTTTTGCTGATATAGGAACTGCGAGAGCTCGCGGCTCAGCACTCCAGTATTCGAATCCTCCGCTTGGGTGAGCTCCTCTACAGACTCAGTCCCTCTCCCTCCCCGCCCCACTCCTTTCCTAGTTGTGGAGCTCTGCCCCAGCTCCACGCTTGTTCCCACTGGCACTTCCTGGGATCCTACTTGTTGGCACAAGGCTTCACCCCCAAGTTCCCCAGGGGGAAGAGGTAGGAGGACCTTTTTAGAGGGGTCCAGGCATACTTGGGATAGTAGAGTTTAGAGCTGAGGAAAATGAAACTCAGAGAAAGTGACTTGCTGAAGGTCACGTAGATAAGGAAATACTAGAATCAAATTCTAACTGAGGTCCTCTTTTGTAAAATCAGGCTTGTAGCTTACACCATACCACTACATCTTACTAGCAGAAGGACCAAAGTTAACAAAAGTGAGAGTGTCTAGCACAAAGGCAGGTTCGCTGGGCTTGCCTACCTTGCTGTGTGTCTTAGGGAGATTTACACTCTCTCTGGGTCTCCCCACCTTACTTAGTCAGGATTTAAGTCTGTCTACAGCTCCTTGTTTCTAGAACACATGAGAGATATTAGACATTAGGCACTCCGCTTTTTGTGTAAAGGAGATATTGGCCCTGTCAGAAATAGTGTCATGTGGAAGCTGGCTAACCTATGAGACTGAGGTCTCCTGTCCACTGGTCTCCCCTGCCCGGTTGCCATGGTATCTACAATTTAGTCCCGAATGATTTGTTTCTTTGGATTTGGAAGGCATTTCAGTCTGGACAGTATCATGGACATGTCAAAATATTCCTGGGAGGCAGAGATTTTAAGCTTTTATCAGGTGACATCATCTCTTCAGTGTGTCACAATTCTTTCTCCCTATCATCACTCCTGGTAGAAGAATGGACCGTTGGAAGCTCTTGTATTAAGTCACTGTATTTGGTGCCGGGGACTTATCAGGCTGCCAGTCAGGTGATAATCATACATGTCATAGGTAGTTGACACACAGAATGTGCTAGGGAGACATTTGGATTGAAGGGGAAAGGTAAGTCAGTGGCAAAGATTTTGTCAACTTCCTACCTTGGTGGGCTACTCACTCAGATCAGCTACCTCTCTTCACACCTCCTCTCTCTCTCTTCTTCTTCCCCTTTCCCCAATGTGCCCGAGAGCCTTCTCAGTCCTCACCCTTCTCAATCTATCAGCTGTGTTTGATACTGGCAGTCATCCTCTCCTCCTGTTTCTCTCTCTCTCTGTTCTTTCTCTCTGTTCCTCTCTCCTGGTTCTCCTTCTACATGTCTGACCCATTTTCCTCAGACTCTGCTGGCTCATCACAATTATCTTCTCCTCTAATTGTGATTATTCCCCAAGACTTTGTCCTGTTCCCTCTTCTCTTTCTACACTCTCTAGGCAACCTCATCAGCACATCTTGGTTTAATTATAGTTTCTAATTAATTATTGTCTGGTTGTTATTGTCCTTTGTACTCTAAGAGGATCAGAATGACTATGTCAATGTTAAGGTATAGTGTGTCCACCTGCGCATACAATACAATACAAACTTGGAAGGCTCCTCCACAGGTCAGGTGGATAGTCCACATGAACATTTGGAGTGGAGATATCTCTAAGTTTGCACAATTATCATCTATTATGAAGATAACTCACAGATCTATAAATCCAGCATCAATCTCTCTTCTGAGATTCAATCTCTTATCACCAATTGCCTACTGGACATTTCAAACTGGGTGTCCTGGTAACACCTCAAATTCATGTCTAAGACAACTCATTCTCTTTCCCCAACAATACTTTCTCATTTCTGTTGAAGGCACCATGGATTCTTCCATTCTTCCCGGTTCATAGCTGACCTCAGTACTATCCTCCACTCTTTACTCTCCTTTACTCTACATATGCAATCAGTTGCTAAGTCTCGGCAATGTTTCTACACCCACAACATTTCTCACATCCAATTCTTTTTCTCTGTTCACATAGCTCCTTTCTAAATTCAGTTCCTCATCATCTCATGCCTGGATTATCACAATCTCTAAACTGGTCTTCCTACCTCAAGTATCTCCTCACTCCAGTCCATTCTCCATACTTCTGCCAAAATAATTTTTCTTAAGTGGAGATCTGATTATGTCATTCCCCCAGCTCAGTAAATTACCCTGGCTCCCTATTACCTTTAGAAGAAATCACAAATGCCTCTGTTCAGCCTCATCTTCTATCATTCTCCTTTCTTCATTCTTCTATCCAGCCCAACTGACCTTTTCTCTGTGGATCATGATCCTACTCCAACTCTCATTTCCATACTTGTACTCTGGCTGTTCCCCCATGCCTGGAATCCATTACCTCTTCATCTTCACCTAATAAAATCACTTTCCTCCTTTGCTTCTTGATCAGTTCAAGCACTATCTTCTACATGAAGCCTTTCCTGACCCCTCCTAGCTGCTGGCAACTTCCCTTTATATTTGACTACTTTGTTATAAATACAAAATATTATCTACTTCTCTTTGTATTTATTCTGTATATACTTAACACACATGTACACATATATACTTATACATGTGGGTACATATACCTACACAAATATATATATATATATATATACATATACACACATACATATACATATGATGTGTTTATATACACACATATATCTGTATCTATCTGTCTATCTATCTTTCTACACACACACACACACACACACACACACACACACACACACACATCTATCTGGGGCATCTAGGTGGTACAGAGTACTGGGCTTGGAGTCAGGAGGACCTAAGTTCAAATCTGACTTCAGACACTTACTAGCTGTGTGCCCCTGGGCAAGTCACTTAACCCTGTTTAACTCAATTTCCTCATCTATAAAATGAGCTAGAGAAGGAAATGGCAAACCACTCTAGTACCTTTGTCAAGAAAACCCCAAATGGGGTCACAAAGATTCAGACATGACTAATCTGCTAAACAACAACAATGTATTCATATATCTATCTCTCCCATTACAATGCTAATTCCTTGATAATAGAAATTGTTTCAGTCTTTGTTTTTGTATCCCCAGTGCCTAGTATAGTCCTGGCATAAATACTTTTTGATTGATTGAATATTCTGTCTTGACAGATGTGGAGCATATTGCTTCTATTCAAGAGGCCGCAGTTTCTGTCAAGGAGCAGCTGCAAGGCTTGGGGCTGAATTTACTCATCAACAATGCTGGAAGGGTCTTGGACAGTACAATCCACTCTGAGTCGGAAGAAAACATGCACCTGCTGTACCAGACTCATGTTGTTGGTAGCCTAAAGATGGGCCAGGTGAGACTCTTCTCGTTGGGGCCCCCAAAGACAGCTCCATTTCCCATCTAGACATGAGTGACCACCTCTATCCACTGTCACAGAGCTGGGGGAATTTAGCATTAGCCTTCCTTTCAAGGCATTTCTCAATCTGGCTACTTCCCACATTTCCAAATTAGTGGATCTTTCACACCATTTAAAGCAAGTCATCCTCATGTATTTAAAGGGTTGTCAAGTAGGAGAGAGGAGTGAGTCTTGTTCTGCTTGGGTCCAGGGCAAATAATATTTAGAAATTACAGGAAGGCAGATTTCAGCTCATTATAGGGAAGAACTCCCTAAGAATTAGATCTTGGGAAAAGTTAACCCCTTCCACCCTCGGTTTCCTCATTCACTTCAATTTAAATGTGAGTGACCTCAGTATTATGTGTATAGTGCAATAGGGCATCAAGGTGGCACCGTAGTGCACAGAGTGCTGAGCCTGGCATCAGGAAAACAGACTCCTTTTCTTGAGGGCAAATCTGGCCTGAAATACTTTCTAACTGTGTGGCCCTGGGCAAGTCACTTAACTCCATTTGCCTCAGCTTTCTCATCTGTTAAATGAGCTGGAGTAGGAAATGGCAAACCATTACAGTATCTATGCTAAGAAAACCCTAAAGGGGTCACAAAGTATTGAATGCCACTGAAAAAACAAACAAGAATAACAAATAGTTGTAATAGCAGCCCCCACCTATCTGGTCTCTTTGCTTTTTTCAACCTACAGAAAAATAAGCTATTGATTAATCATTAGTTAACAGCAAGGTAGCATTTACATACCAGGTAGTGGTAACCTCCAGCTACCAGGCAAGTGGCTTGGTCAGAAGGTATTCTGTACTCTGTCTTTCCCCAAAGCCATGATATGCCCTTCACTCTCACCAGAGGTACTCCCATACAAAACTCTTAACCTTTAGATTATTCTCATTTCTATATCTCTACCCAAGCCCCCAGTCTACAGAGGATGCTTCTCCTGGTCTCAATTTGATATTCACCTAGGGGTATGGAAAAATGGAAACTTGTTATGAAATATTAAAATGATGGAAATCTCGATTTGTTTCTCCCTTACTCTACATTTGGGAAATTTTCTGCTCTTGGCTGATGAACATCATCCACAAGACCCAGACAATGGACTTTTTAGTGACCATATGATTTATTAAATTAAAGTGACTGACTATAAAGAAACTACTTTGCTTGGTTGTCTCCTACTGGTTCATTAGACTATCATCTCTGTTCTGGAGGAATGGGGAAGAGGAATTATGTAGTGGGTACCTGCCAGGATTGCTTCTATGAACAATTGACAGAAACAAGGGAGAGCTCTAGGGATTGGTATCTATCTCCTAGGCTGACCTTTATAGCAGCTGAAGCTTCAGAGCGGTTGCCAATCTGGGCTCTCCTAGAACACCAGTTTTGCATGGTAACTTGGCCATTCCCTTCATCATTTCTCATTTGACAATAATATTCCATCATATTCATATAGCATAACTTATTCAGCCATTCCCCAATCAAAGAGTACCCCTCTAGTTTCCAATTCTTTGCCACCACAAAAAGAGCTGCTATAAATATTTTTGTATATATGGGTCCTTTTCCTTTTTTTGATCTCTTTGGGTTATAGACCTAGTAGTGGTATCACTGGGTCAAAGGAAATCTACATTCTATTAGCTTTTGGAGCATAGTTTAAAATTGTTTTCCAGAATGTTTAGAACAATTTGCTGCTCCAACAACAGTGTGTTAATGTACCTGTTTTCTCACAGCCCCTCCAATGTTGGTTGTTTTCCCTTTTTGTCAACTTTGCCAATCTGGTGGGTGTGAGGCGGAGCCTTAGAATCTTTTTTGTTTGAAATTTTCAAACCATTAGTGATTTGGATCATTTTTTCCCCCATATGGCTATTGGTATCTTGGATTTCTGTTTCTGAATAATGCCTATTCATATCTTTCAACCATTTATCAATTGGGGAATGGTGGGTATACTCACAAATTTGAACTAATTCCCTATGTATTTCTATCTCAGAAATGAGACCTTTATCAGAGAAATTTGATGCATATTCCCCCCCCCCATTTACCTATTATCTTCTAAATTTACTGGCATTACTTTTGTTTGTGAAAAGACTTTAATTTTATGTAATCAAAATTGTCTATTTTACTTTCTATCATGCTCTCTGTAACTTGGTTATGATTCTTCTCCTATCCATAAATTTGAAAGGTAATTTCTTCCTTGTTCCTCTTAATTTATTTATGATATCTTTTCTGTCTCAGTCATGTACCCATTTAGAGCTTATTTTGGTATACTATATGGGTTGTTAGTTTATACCTAGTTTCTGCCAAACTGCTTTCCAGTTTTTCCAGTAGTTTTTGTCAAATAGTGAGTTCTTACCCAATACCTCAGATCTCTGGACTTATCAAATATTAGATCACTGTGCTCATTTATTTTTGTATGTTTTGTCCCTAATCTATTCCTCTGATCAACTTCTCTATATTAAGCCAGTACTAAATTGTTTTGATAATTATGGCTTTGAAATTTTTGACCTTCCATTCTTCCAACTGAATTTTGTTATTATTTTTAAAATTAGCTTTATAAAATAATCCTTTTGCAGTTTGATTGGTATGGCACTGAGTAAGTAAATTAATTTAGGTAGTGTTGTCATTTTTATTATATGGGCTCAGCATATCCATGAGCAATTAATATTTCTCCAGCTATTTAGATTTGTCTTTATTTGTGTGAAGAATGTTTTGTAATTGTGTTCATATAGTTCCTGTGTATGTCTTGGCAGGTAGACTCCCAAGTGTTTAATACTTTCTGTAATTATTTTAAATGGAATTTCTCTTTCTATCTTTTCTTACTGGGTTTTGTTTATGCAGAAATACTCATGATTTATATGGTTTTATTTTATGTCCTGCAGCTTTGTTTAAGTTGTTTGTTTGTTTCAATTAACTTTTTAATTCTCTTTCTAGGGTTCTCTAAGTAAGCCATCATCTTCAAAAAGCAATAATTTTGTTTCCTCTTTGCCTATGCTTATTCCCTCAGTTTCTTTTTCTTGTTACATTGCTGGATTCTGGCTTCCAATCAATCTTGCTATCCACTTCCATTTTGTGGGTTAGTTTATCCCGTTCCCGTTTACATTTATGATAGTGAATTGTGGATTTCCTGCAATCCTATTCTCGTACTTTTCCTTCTCTTTGAAAACAAAAAAGGTTGCAGAGAAAGGATTATGCTTCTTAGCACTAGACTTCAAGATTTGAAGCAATTTGCTTCTGCTCTCCCACCCCTTTTCTCTTTCTCTGGCCAAGAGCCCAATCATAGTTTCTTAACTTTTCTTTCCTTTTAAGTCCCTCTTTGAGATTCAATCTCCATGATTAGAGTTTATTTTGCTTAGGGGTTGATCTCTCCTTTAATCTATCCTTCCTCCTTATTCCCTTCTCCCCTTTCCCCCCTTCCCTCTTGTTTGTCTGTTGAATGATATATATTTCTGTAAGCCCCATGGCGGCAATATCTAAACCTTGTGTCTCCTTCAGGGCCATTCACAATGCTGTGCACACTCTGAGTTTCACAAAAAGCTGTTGCATTGAAGTGGAAAGAAAGCCCATGCAGGACCTCTGTCCTTTTAGATTTCTGATGATAATAAATGTCTCCACTCTCATGTCTTTCCCCAACCCTTCCAGACATTCCTGCCCTTGTTGAAGAAGGCCGCCCAAACAGGATCTCAGGATAGTCTCAGTTGTAACCGGGCTGCTATCATCAACATTTCTAGTACCGCAGGCTCTATAACAGAACTTTTTGCCTGGCAGTATGGTCATTTGTTATCCTATCGCTGCAGTAAGGTATGGAAATTGGGTACTGGGTTGGAGGAAGGAAGAAGGGTGGTGATAGGGAGCATGGTGCTACAGGGCTTCATTAGTATGGCTGAGCTATGGTCTCCTCTCCTCTCTTTGCCCCACTGCCTTCCACCAGGCTGCCCTGAACATGCTCACCCGGTGCCAAGGCCTGGCCTTTAAAGAGGAAGGAATCCTGTGTACTGCTATTCACCCTGGCTGGGTTCAGACAGATATGGGCGTTTCTGGAATTTATAAGGTAAGTCTGCCTCCTGCCTGCATCTCCCTCAGGTTGGGCCCAAGCTTGGGACAGAAAATAGGCACTCTTAGCCAGCTTTTGTGGGGAGGATACCATAGGGTAGGAAGGTTGGGGAGGCAGTTCCTTGGAAGGAAGGCACAGGGAATCAGTTAGCATAGGCCTGATCTCCATGACTTGGAAGATGAAAATAAATCTAAGTTGCATTAAGATCTTAATGAATATTTCTACTCAGTTTGTTTTAATTGGAACTATTTCCTCCTCCTTGACCTTTCCTTCCAATGCTACCCATATAGGCTATGACCTGTGTCAGGTCCCAGGAAGTGTTGATTCACTAGGTTCCTACCTGACTGGCAACCCTTCCACTGTCCCTCAGCCTCTGGCAACTTAGCCCCTTCTCTCTGAGTCAGTTACTTTCTGTTACATCCTCACTGCATGCAGGTGCTATTCTAGTAGGTTACTCTCCTCCTGGTCCCTCTCAACCTGTTGTGTGCTCTGCAGCCTCCTTTGAAGAAAGAAGAATCGGTGCAAGGCATGCTGAAGCTCTTTTCTACACTTTCGGAGGAGAATTCAGGGGGTTTCTACAGTTGGGAGGGAAAGGCATTGTCTTGGTGAAGTTACAACCAGCTGGGGGTGGTGATTGAGATCTGACTCCAGTTATCTTTCATGCCTTTCCATCAACAGCCCAGGATTGACCACCTCATTTTGTTTGACGACTTCCCTGAGCTCTGAATGCCAATAAACTTAATTAACTGCCTCCGTAAACTGTTCTCATTCTTCCTAGTTGTAGCCAGGGGTAGTGATGATGATCTAGACTTAAGAAAGTGATGGAGAAGATATAAAAAATTCAGGTTAAACTTAGAAGTGTGCCATGTGTACATTTTCCCTCTGGAAAACCAGTTGTTAAACATTTATTAGCACCCCCGTCCTTGTAGCCCAAAGCTATGAAGGGAAATTAACTTTGATACCTTGAGGGAAGGGATGGGTAATCATGGTCATTCCTGACTCTTCTATGTTTTTTGTAAGGTTCCTATGACTTCTGATCACCAGAATCCCACAACCTCTGGCATAGGCATATAGTCATAGATCTATAGCCTGAAGAACTTCAATCAATCAATAAACATTTATAAAGTGCCTATTATGTGCCAGGCACTGTGCTAAGTTCTGGGGTTACAAGAAGAAGCAAAAGATAGCCTCTGCCCTCAAGGAGTTTGCAATCTAATAAGTTCAGAAGCCATTTAGTTCAAAATGCTCATTTTACATGTTAACACCCGCTTAGGACTAAGGGGCTATTTACCTCAATTTATACTTGCACTGGTGGGTCCCCAGAAGGATTAATTCTCTCAGGTTTTAGGCATGATCCTGTGGGATTACTCCTCTAACACTGGAGTCTGTCTGTGCAGAACCCACTGGGCTTGTTCATCAGGGAACAGCTAGTCTCTGTCACCTGTAGCTTCAAGGTCAGTTCTAATCCTCAGTTGGGTTACTGCTGTGCTCTTTCAGATACATCTGAGATCCTTGCCTTAAAACAGGCAAAAGCCATTCCAATTCTGGTCCCTCAGAACTTAGACCTCAAAGTTTTCCATAACGTAGGTAGGACATGGGAGAACACAGTTTGTGCCTTTCGTTTTGACCATTCTTGGAGTCTCCTCAAAGACAGACCTCACTTTAACTTGTGATGACCATCCAGTATATCTTTAACTAGACAATGACCTCTTACCCAATAATTGCAAATAGTTCTGGGGTTCAGAGTTTCCTGGATTTTTTTTTTCATCTTTAAGGAGCTCTATTGTCCCAAATTTCTTCTACCCTTTGTAACTAAACTCTTTGAAAAAGTCTTCTACTATAGGCACCTCCATTTTCTCTCCTCTTAGCCTTTTTTTTCTTTTTAATTAATTAATTTTTCATTTTCAACATTCACTTCCACAAGATTTTGAGTTTTAAATTTTCTCACCATCTCGTCCCTCCCCCCACCCCAAGATCGCATGCATTCTGAATAACCCTTCTCTTATTCTGCCCTCCCTTCTAGCTCTCCCCCCACTTCTCTTATCCCCTTCCCCTTCAATTTTCCTGTAGGGCAGGATAGATTTCTATTCCCCTTTTCCTGTATACCTTATTTCCCAGTTGCATGTTAAAACAATTTTTTTTAAACTTTTGTTTTTAAAACTTTGGGTTCCAAATTTACTCCCTTCCTCCCTCCCCACCCAACCTCATTGAGAAGGCAAGCAGCTCAATATAGGTTATACATGTGTAGTCATGCAAAACACTTCCATATTAGTCATGTTGTGAAAAACGAAGTATATTTCTCTTAATCCTATCCTGCCTGCCTGTCCCCCCCATTTATTCTATTCTCTTTTGAGCCTGTCCCTCCTTGGAAGTGTTTGCTTCTTATTATCCCCTCCCCCAATCTGCCCTCTCCTCTATCATTCTCCTGCTCTCTTGTCCCCTTCTGCTTCTATTTTCCTGTAGGGTAAGATAGATTTCCATACCCAATTGAGTGTGTATGTTATTCTCTCCTTAAGCCAAATCCAATGAGAATAAGATTCACTCATTCCCTCTCACCTTCCCCCATTTCCCCTCCACTGTAAAAGCCTTTCCTTGTCTGTTTTATGTGAGATAATTTACCCCATTCTACCTCTCCCTTTCTCCTCCTAGTATAATCCTCTCTCACCCCTTAATTTTATTCTCCAGATATCACCCCTTCATCTTCAACTCACCCTGTGCCCTCTATCTATCTGTCTATCTATCTATCTATATATACCTACATATAATTTTTTCCCCTCCAACTACTCTAATACTGACAAAGGACTCATGAGTCGCAAATATCATCTTTCCATGCAGAATGTAAACAGTTCAACCTTAATAAGTCTCTTATGATTTCTCTTTCCTGTTTACCTCTTCATGTTTCTTTTGAGTGTTTCTCTTGAGTCTTGTATCTGAAAGTCAAATTTTCTATTCAGCTCTGGTCTTTTCACCAAGAATGCCTGAAAGTCCTCTATTTCACTGAATGACCATTTTTTCCCCTGAAGGATTATGCTCAGTTTTGCTGGGTAGGTGATTCTTGGCTGTAATGCTATCTCCTTTGCCCTCCAGAATATTATATTCCAAGCCCTGTGGTCCCTTAATGTAGAAGCTGCTAAATCTTGGGTTATCCTGATTGTGTTTCCACAATACTTGAATTGTTTCATTCCGGCTGCTTGCAATATTTTCTCCTTGACCTGGGAACACTGGAATTTGGCTACAATATTCCTGAGAGTTTTCCTTTGGGGATCTCTTTCAGGAGGTGATGGGTGGATTCTTTCAATTTCTATTTTGCCCTCTGGTTCTAAAATATCAGGGCAGTTTTCCTTGATAATTTCTTGAATGATGATGTCTAGGCTCTTTTTTTGATCATGGCTTTCAGATAGTCCAATAATTTTTAAATTATCTCTCCTGGATCTATTTTCCAGGTCAGTTGTTTTTCCAATGAAATATTTCACATTGTTTTCTATTTTTTCATTCTTTTGAATTTGTTTTACAGTGTCTTGATTTCTCATAAAGTCACTAGCTTCCAATTGCTGTAATCTAATTTTTAAGGAAGTATTTTCTTCAGTAAGCTTTTGGACTTTCTTTTCCATTTGGCCAGTTTTGCTTTTTAAGGCATTCTTTTCCTCATTGGCTTTTTGGACCTCTTTTGCCATTTGGGTTAGGCTATTTTTTAAGGTGTTATTCTCTTCAGTATTTTTTTGGGTCTCCCTTAGCAAGCTATTGACTTGTTTTTCATGATTTTCTTGCATCACTCTCAGTTTTTCCTCTACTTCTCTTACTTGCTTCTCAAAATCCTTTTTGAGCTCTTCCATGGCCTGGGACCAAATCATATTTTTCTTGGAGGCTTTGGATGTAAGAGCTTTGACTTTGTTGTCTTCTTCTGGTTGTATGTTTTGATCTTCTTTGTCACCAAAGTAAGATTCTATGGTCTGACTCTTTTTGCGCTGCTTGCTCATCATCCCAGCCAATTACTTGAGTTATAAACTCTTTGTTAAGGTAAGGGTCTGCTTCCAGTGTGGAGAATGTACTGTCCCAAGTTTTGGGGGTTTTGTGCAGCTGTTTTCAGAGATACTTCTAGGGACCTGTAAATTTTCAGTTCTCCCAAGGTGCTATGATCAAGGGTGAGGTGTTTACTCCCTTCCTGGCCTGTGCTCTGGTCTGAGTGACCACAAGCACTCTTTTCTGTCTTGGAACTGTGAGGAGGATTTCCTCTCCACTACCACTACAAGCTCTACCATGCCAGTGCTCCTCCTTGCCCCAGGATCGCCACCCAGAACCGTGACCCAGATCCAAGCATGGGCAAAGCAAGAGAATCCTGCACCAGCAAAGAGATCCCTGCAATCCTCCTTTGATCAGCCACTTGATTCCCCCTCAGTTTGTGGGCTGGAAGCTCAGGAGGCAGTCACTGCCCCAGGGCCACTCTCGGTGCTAAGGGACTGGGGCTGGGGCCACGCTTCTCTCTCACTGTAGAAACAGACTTTTCCTACTGACCTTCTAAGTTGTCTTTGGCATTCATGGATTGAGAAGTCTGGAAATCGCCACAGCTGCCCATGATTCAGTCCTTTGAGGCCTGCTCCAGGTTCACTGAGGCCTGCGCGGCCATGCTGATGTGCGCTCCTCTCCCAGCCCTGCGCGATATACCTGTCTGATGAACCATCCAGGTTGCCTTGGGCTGAATATTTGCTTCACTCTGTCTTTTTGTGGGTTCTGCTGCTTTAGAATTTGTTTAAAGCCATTTTTTACAGGTATTTGGAGGGGTTTGGGGGAGAACTCAAGCAAGTCACTGCTTTTACTCTGCCATCTTGGCTCCGCCCCAGCCTTCCTCTCTCACTCTCTTCTTAACCCCTATAATCTGACTTCTGACCCTATCATTCCACCAAAAATGCTATTTTCTAAAGTTACTAATGATCTTTTAGTTGCCAAATCCAGTGGTCTTTTCTCAATCCTCATTCTCCTTGACCTCTCTACAGCCTTTGACACTGTTGACCACTCTCTCCTCCTTGATGATCTTTTCTCTCCAGATTTTCAGGACACCACTCTCTCGTCTTCCTATCTGACCAGCATCCTTTGCTGGTTCTTCTTCCAGATCATACCCTCTAACCATAGGCACCCCTCAGGATTCTGTCCCAGGCCCTCTTCTCTTCTCCCTCTGTGCTACTTCACTTCTTGTTCTCATCAACACCAGTGGATTTAGTTACCGTCTTTACAATGATAATTCTCAAATCTACCTATTCTGCCCCAAACTATCTGCTGACTTCCAATCTTGCATCTCCAAGTGCCTCTCAAATGTCTCAAACTGGTTGTTCAGTAAACATCTCAAACTCAGCATGTCCAAAACAGAACTTGTAATCTTTTCCTCAAACCTTTCTTACCTTACCTTCTTCATTCCTGTAGGGGGAAACACAATGCTGCCTGTTCCTCGGGCTCACAAACTAGGAGTCATCCTGGATTCCTCACTATTTCTTCCCTCCTCCTTCCCTTCCAATTTGTTGACAAGGCCTGTCTCAATTTTACCGCTGCAACGTTTCTTAAATACATCCCCCCCCACACACCCTTTCTTTCCTCTGACACAGACACCATTCTGGTATCTTCATCACCTCACACCTGGACTATCATAGTAGCTGCTGGTGAGTCTGCCTGCTTCAAGTCTCTCCCCACTCCAGCCCATCCTCCATTCATCCACCAAAGTGATTTTCCTAAATTGTAGGTCTGATCTT